ACATGCTCATTTGGTTGGCCATCAACACATGCTAACAAGACAAGAGGAGGGAGGACCACCCCCTCCTATTTTGGCCCTCAAAACAAGGTTTCTACCACTGAAATTCCTCTGGATTTCAGTGGTTTTAAAGCCAAAAAGAAGTTGTTTGAAAAGCTTGAAAGTTAGCTCAGAAGGGCATACAAGCCAAGGAGCAAAAGGGAGGAAACACCCCCTAGCTAAACAAGGCTTAAACCAACACTTTTAGGATTGAAAAACAGAGGAAAAACAGAGGAAAAAAAAAGGTTTTTGTAGTTCAACACCACCCCAAAAAACAGCCCCAAAGTAGTTGAAAACTATGGCAAAGCTAGTATGCAAAACAAGCTAAAAGGGAGAGAGACATACCTCTTGATGCACAATAGCAAAACAACCACTTTTCTGAGCCAAACAAACTTCAATCTGCCCAAAAATAGGTTCCAAGGGACCTCAACCCAATGGTGATCAACTTTGATGAAGGATGCCTAGGCAAACTAGAAGTATTTCTTTACTTCTATGCACTTCTATGCACAAAATGGGCAAAAGAGAGTGAACTATAGAGAGAGGGGCAGAGATTCAGCTCTGGAATTTCTATAGAGAGAGAGGACTTTTTAGAGTGAGAAGTTCTCAAAATTTCTCTAAGCCTTTCATATGTTCTAACCCTTGCAAAATGGGAGATATATCATCATATATAGCAAAAGCAAGACTCAAGGTCGAAAATATCTGATTTGGGACAGCTAGAGCAAGCTGGAAACAGTTTGAGGAGAAATATCTGCAAAAAATCTGAGTTTTGGACATTTTTGGACGATCGGCCAACATTTGTGGCCGATAAGGTTCACTTTTGGCCAACCTATGGCCGATATGGCCGATGAGGTTCAATTATGGCCGATGCACTTCCATAGAGGCCGCTGGAAAAAATTAGTCCTGGTTCCTGACTTGAAGCAAGCCTAATTCCTTCATCTGGACTCCTTTTCAAGTCATTCTTGAGCCTAAACTGTAGCCCCAGAAGTCTTCTTTCCAAATTTGGAAGCCTCACCTCAAAATTCCATGTGTGCTAAGAGATATCCCTCTTTTAGTGAAGGTTTCTCAGTTTCAGTCCAACCGGAATGATGCCCAACTTCAACCAAACCAATCATATCTCCCCCATCCGGACTCGGCTTTAGGAGATTCTTAAGTGAAAAATAAATCCCTAGAAGTAAGATTTCCAACAGTGGTGGCCTCATATCTGAAATCCAAGTATTCAAAAGGATGGGCTTGATTTAGCGAGGGTTGCTCGACTCTCTCTTAACGATTCATGCCCAACTACTTCCCCAATTGGGTTTCTTCCCTCTTTTTTTCTTTTCTTCAACTCCAAACCCCTAAGCAAGGTGTTTTGAAATATTTTTCAAAGATTTCAACTCTCTTTCATTCATTTCCACTTTGTCATTGCTCGGTTTATCGAAAAGCGCAACATTTGAAAAAATGCGAGCCTCGGAACATCGTAGAAACTTCTTTTCAAAAATATTTTGAAATAGAGGGTTTTAAGGTCTAAAAACCATTCAAAATAGCTTTGGTCCAAAATGAGTGTGAGGTTAGGATTTGACTCTCCTCTTGTCGAAGAAATCGAACATTTGCCCTACACATCTTTCATCACCATGTAAACCATCAGTAGGGTCCAAGTCTTAAAGGCGGTCAAAAATGGGGTGTCTACACCTTGCATGCTCATTTAGATGAGTGTGCGGCGTTGTCATGACGCTTGGGGCATGACAAGCGTAAGAAGTGACGCTCGAGCGCAGAATACACATATCTAGTAGTTTTGTAGACAGAAGAACATCGCTCGGGCGCAAGAATTCCTCGCTCGAGCGTAGGAATTGCCACTCGAGCGTAGAATACATTCTACCAATAGTTTTGTAGGCCTGTGAAAGTACTGAAAGTTCACAAAGCCCGCACGAGCGCAAGAAGTGCACTCGAGCGGAGGAGCAAAATTCTAGGCTGCAAGGGTTTGGAAAATAGGAAACCAACCTGTCCCAAAAGCAACCACAATAATCAAATAGCGAAATTTAAGGATATACAAGTGAAACAAGATGTGAACAATAATATGAAACTATGAAACTCGAGTCCGGGCTACAACAAGGGTCGGGTCAATACCAAAATTGCTATATTTCCTGACTAAAAATATTTTTAGTTGCTAATTAGTTTTCTCGACCCTCAATTGGTGACCAAAATGGCGACCAAAAAAATTAGTTTCCAAAAACTTTTGCTGACTAAAAATAGACTTTTACCGACTAAATTTCTAGTCGGGAAAAGTGCAATTTCCTGTAGTGAATCCACCATCCCTACCATCTTCTATGCCCTTACCCACTACTCCCATCTTGATTCGGCTATTCTGCCATTAGAAATTATTCAAGGTCTCGAATTTAAGTCATAAGGATTATTGAAATTTATCCAATTGTTAATTTAGAATTTAAAAATTATTCATAATGTTTAGAAGTTAGCTGAGACACCCACTAATTTTTAAAAAAAAAAAGAAAGAAAGAGAGATATATGTGGGTCACTACAAATGCATATGTATATATATAAGAGGTGCGCCTCTATTTACACACCATAATTTATCTCAAGGCAAACCACTTCTAAAGGCACACCTTTAATAATTTGGTAAATATATATTTTACTCATCACACACCACAAATTTACATATTTACCCTTACTCACACACCCATCCACAACAATATACACACAAACTCCCATATTTACCCTCACTCACTCACACACCTCCACACACCCACCTTCTTCCATCTCCCCCTCTCCATTCTCTGTTTCAACCGGTGAACATTGTCTTGGTACTCAACATAGAGTAAAGCAGTGATAAAGACATCGTTGGTGCTCAAGTAAAGCATTAGGTGAGTTTTCATTTTGCTTAGATTTTAGGGTTTTATGTATTTTTTACCATTGCCATGAATGAATTAGTTCCAAACTGTTTGATACTATAATTTCGAACCCCAAAAGCTGTACGAGCTCGTTCGATACTTGACTTTCGAACAAAATGATTTTGTCCAGCTTGTTATTGTCAACCTTGTTCGGACCTAGAATGTTGAACTATAATGCTTTGTTTGATTCTTTACTGTCGAACAGTATATGGTTTTTTTTTTTTTCTCCTCTTAATTTCCCCCACATTGGGAAAGTTTCTAATAAATTGATATAACCAATATATCTTTATAGAAGTTGATTAACACAAAAACTAAATGTAAAATCGAACAAAGAAAATAAATAAATGGATAAGATTTTTGAAAAACAGACTTCATCGATAAATTTTTTAAAATCTTATCCATTTAGGTGTTTTTTGTATTCAAGTCTATGTTATATTTTTTGTGTTACTTACATTGTTGTTGACTTTCTATTAAATAGATGGCAGTGTGTCCATGTGCATGGTTTTCTCTAGTGTGAAAAATTAGGCCTCGTTTGGCATAACCTATATAATCCATCTTTTTATCTTTTTATCTTTTTTCCATCACATCACCTCTCTACTTTTCTGCATATATTTTCGTAAAAAGACAAAAAGTGCACTTTTTTAGGATACCCTAAACCAACCCTTAGTCTTACTTTGTAGGCGTATAAAGAAAATACTTTAATAATTTTTAAAAAAAAAAATTGAAAAAAAAAATCGTGGTGAAGTGTAATTTGGGATTTACACTATTGCTAATTTTGCAGAAAACATAAAACATATAATGAACATGAAGAAATCATAGTTTAAAAAATACAGGTCCCTACACCTAAACATAATGATGAGAATGAAAATCTCAACTTGTTCGCAATACATATTGATTGATAACTGATTCACGAATCACGACCGAATTTACAGAGGATATAGCCTTTCACAGCCAATTTTGGCCAATTTTGTTATAAAGTGTTTTTTTCTTTTCTTTTTTTCACTATCACAACTATGTTAACTATATTGCTAGTACATTGTGAATGATATCGATTGACGCGGCGCATAAAAATAAAAATAAAACTAAAAGGAAAATTAAAAGAAAAAGAAAATGATTGTCACTTTGACATGAATCATTCTTATATTGCTAAAGAAAACCAACATTTGACTTCGGATTAGTTTACTACTAACACGACATCTCAGATCCATTAGTTTTCTTAATAATATCAGCAAGACTGCCACCTCGATGATTTTGAAAAGATTTTATGGTGAAAATCTTATAAAAACTGGAAAGTGAAGATGATACTTAAAAGTTTTATTCAACTGTTGTTGTCATGAAAATAACATCTATGACTAGAAAACATGACTTGTGCTGTTGAAAACATTAGGCAAAACTGAAATGAAAACATATAGGAAAAATTCATGTGAATTGTGTTGTTGAGACTTGCTTGCTTGTCAAAACCAATTTGTCTGCAATTTTTCACATATAATAATATATGTTTGAATATGAATTCTTTGGTCACAAGATTTAGTGTCACCTTTAGATATATAGTATTATTAGGTGAGCAGTTCCTGTTTGAATTTGGTGGGAGATAGTTGGCCATCATTTAACAATTCAATTTACTAATTAATTAATAAAAAAATACAGTGAAGGTTGCACACCAAAAATGAGCATTAATTCAATGTGTATATATATCCTTGTCATGTTCCTTAGAAGCAAATCAATTAAATAAAGGGACATGCCACGTGGCGTGTCCCATACATATCCTTGTCATGTCCCCACGTTTGACACCACTATGGCACCTTTCTTGAAGTGTTGGTGCTTCATAGGTGTGAGTATTTTAACCTAAATGATTTGTGTTACTTCTGTTAACTTTATTGTTTTCTATTTCACTTTCATAAATGGATGACCCTTCGCGTATTCCACCCACTGCCTCAAAGAGACGACGTTGTGCATTAACAAATCCTGCCCGTGCCTGAGGTCAAGGTTGAGGTCGGGGTCGGGATAGAGGTCGGGGTGATGATATTGTGTTGGAGAAAACACCTCAAATCTTGGAAGAGGATGTGATTGATAATGGTTCAGGGGATGATGATGATGTTGCTAATGTTGATCAGGTTGAGGAGGTACTCACTGGTCCATTTCCTGGGGGGCCATCAGATCCATCAGTACTGAAGAGCTTCAAGGCACATATTGCAGCAACTACATGGGATTAGAAGGTAGTATATATTTTTTACCATGTTTCATTTATTTAATTATTTATTGAACCACATTATTTATGTTAATTATTAATTACCTTGCAGGAGAGGAATCCCTTAAGGTGTTATAATCATGCGCCCAAGATTCTTGAGTAGCGGTGGTGGTCAAGAACCGACAATAGAAGGTTTAGAGACATTGTGCAGCATTTAGGCCTATCTTCTTTGGTCCATTGCACATATCGGTTTGTGAATAGGATTGTCATTTCTATATTTGTTGAGCGATGGCAACCAGAGACAAATACTTTCCATTTGACAGTTGGTGAGATGACAATGACATTGGATGATGTGGGTACTATCTTGGGGATCCCTATCACAAGTAGATCAGTTAGTGCTGCAACTTTGACAGATCAACAGGCACATGCACTTGTGGTAGCTGCATTGGGAGTTGATGATGCTGAAGCACCTGAGGAGCTATCATCTGCTGGGGGACAATCAATAAAGCTGGAGTGGTTACGAAGCAAATTCAGTGGTTGCAAAGATTCAGACACTAAGAAGTCCATAGTTTGTGCCGCCAGAGCGTATTTGCTATTTCTATTGGAATGTACACTATTCAGCGACAAGAGTGGAACGAGAGTTCTTATTGTGTACTTGCAGTTGTTCATGGATGTGGCTGATATTCATACATATGGTTGGGGTGCAGCTGCATTGGCATATTTATATAGACAGTTGGGATTTGCCACGAGATCAGCTGTTCGACAGATGGCTGGTTACATGACATTGCTGGAGGCATGGATTTATGAGCATTTCCAGCCATTTAGACCTCACCAAAACGTGGAATATACTACACAATTGCCTCACGTGCGTCGATGGACTCCTCGTCGGGAAGCTGGTTCAACAGTATCACACCTACAGGCGTTATGGGAGGAGCTTGACAAATTGGCATTTGATGAGGTATAACAATTAATATTAGTTCAATTACGTGTTCTTATTCCATGTCACTCATCAAGATTTCATTTGTGTTTCTCTCTTAGGTTACTTGGGATCCATATCGAGATTGCCGTCAACATCACCCATGTCATGAGATCACATTCTACAGTTGCTATTTGAAGTGTTTGGATGCAGTTGAACCCTGCCATCCTGAAAGGGTTCTTAGACAGTTTGGTAGGGTCCAGACCATCTCACCTGCACCACTCAACCCTGTTCGTGCTGTTAGAGGTGTCACAGCAGGCCGATATAGAATGATGTATCAGTATCTTGATCAAATATAGGAGAGTTGGGATAATCATGTTTGATCTACTCGGAGGAGGAGTACCTCAGTCAGACGTCCGGCTGATTGTGTTGATGGTTACATGCAGTGGTATACAAACATCACACACTTATATATCCAGAACCCCACACATCGGTCTGGTTTTGACGCATGTACACAAGATAGTCGATCTGATGTGCAGGACGCTGAGGTATGACAATATTGCGCACACATCGTTTACATTTTTTTTTTTTTTAGGATGGCATGTGCTAATTACAATTGTATTTGTTCTAAATGCAGCATATACAGATTGCGCATCCTATCATCGAGGCGGGCCATAATGCTTGTGTTCGTGAGCCAGATAGGTTATATGAGGCCATTGAAAGGATGTCACGTGTTCTTCAGGGTCAACAAATCGATGAGCCTGGACCTAGTTCTATTCCATTTCGAACATACCATCGTAGGAGACGAGTACATGATAGGTAGTTGGTTTTGTGGTAATCTTATTTTGTAATGGAAAAGTACTCTTTTGATGTTTTTGTTGTTTTGTAATGAACAAAAATTACTCTACCAATATTTTGTAACGAACAAGTATTCATGGTTTGTATTTTTGGTAATCAACAGGAAGTATTATGCCAATGCATTTGATACACCGCAATAAATAAGTACTACCATGTGCATTAAATTAACTCAAAACTTAATCCAACTCAACTATTTAAATGCTAATCCACAAAAATGTATCGGTAACTATTTAAATTGCATAACTACAACTCAACTCACATACATCATTACTCATCAAGGTTAATACAATCAAATGTCTCTCTAGTAGCTACCCCTAAATGAACAACTTCTTTAAAATGCTCAATTCGGCGATTATATGCAGTGCCCCATCCAATCACATAAGAATGATGAAACTTGCACCAATTGGTAGCTATCAGTGGAACTGGATGACCTGGTAACATGAACACCTACATTGACAAAGCTTTAAGTATGAGAGCGATGCAGTACAAAATGATAAATTTATTACGCAAATCATAATGCTATACCTAGACAAAATGATTCCCATTAACAAACCCAATAACAATCTCACGTCATTGAAGTTGTGATATTGGCATTGATCGTAGGGGCAGGAAAGTAAGGCATTGTTATGCAGATAAGTGGTACAATACCACATTATAACAAGATGCAACAAGATGACCCATATCAGGCATAGTCATCCAACGGTGATACCCTGAATTGGGCTCAAAGTATGATAGATTATGGGTCAGCTCTTCAATCCTGTCATGTGAACCATATAGATGAGTGTAATGGTATATGTGTGTGTACAATTCATGTAGGAGATCACGCCTAACTTGACCCCATTCAGCCTCTGTAAGCCCTATCAAGCTAGCAATGGCCCAAAACCCGCAATTGCCATCAACATCTACATCCTTGATAAGATGTATGTAAGGCTTCAATCCAACTGAAAGGGCATCAACATATGAAGAAGTCGTTGTACGAGTTTGATATACCTATTCAACAGGGAAGGCATCAATACATGAACAACAAAACACGTAATTTATAATCAACAAAAATGTAAGTAAAAAATGATTGCATGTACCTTCTCTTTGGCAGGCCGTTTTGTTTGTACTTTGACAAAATCCTGTGTAGGGATCTGGGTGCCCATAGGTGAGTGGCTATCATGTCTAGATTGAACCAACTCAAATGCACATGAGTCTCGACGCGTGGATACATCTACCTTCTTATGTCCCTTACCTCGAGGGTTGGGCTTCACATCCGGCTCAATGAGAAAAGTACTTTGCGGATTTGCTATCTCTCCTAACTTATGCAGAATTTCCAACTGCATAATGTAATTAGATGCATTGAATCGCTTAAGTATGAAACCAAACTTTGGTTCACAACTCAATTCCACTTTATCATTTTTCAACTTTTGTACTAGCTCAAGAGTCCTCCAGTGCGGGTTAATACTATCAAAGGGTATTGGACGACCCTGTCAGATGTAATCCGCAATCTCATGGGCACAAGGTAACCCGTGTGTTCATCGATAAACACATCCACATACTGAAGCATCAATGCCAACATCATTCGCTCGCTTACTCTCTGCTAAAACATGATCTAATGCAATTATGGAGATATTGCCGCGAAACTCTCTAAGATGGGATGGTTTAAACTGGTGTCGTATAACGGTTAAACTCTTCTCAAACGATGCCTTAATATCAACGTGATGTAACTCAAGCAAACTATGGATCTTAGTCCAAGAACACTCAAAATTGACTTGATTAAAACCAAGTTGTTCTTTAAGTTTTGCATGTGCACTTTCAGCCCTGTGTACAATGGAAACAATTAACATAATTAAGTTTAAATAATCAAAATCATAATGACTAATAGTGTAAGATAGACAAATATATATTACATGTTGGTTGTAACATTCCCAAAGTGCATACAACTATCTGTCCATATGGCAACAAACTTATCCTTATATGGATTTAACCAACTTTGTGACATGTATTGTACTGCCTAAGGATATGTATCAAAATCCGTAACTAGCTTAGCAAGGTGTTCATTGTATTCAAGCTCAGTTGTGGAGAGTACCAAGAAATTCCATAAAGAGATAAACTTGTCTCATTCCTCCTTACTCTTAAACATTTTCTTACATTTCACCAGTACATTTCTACTAATATGCCATCGGCATAATAAATGTCGAGATGTAGAAAATACACTGTTAATAGCATTCATCAAAGCAAGCTCCCTGTCCATGACAATCACCTTAGGAATAACAATGTCATCAAAAAGACTACGCAATGTAGTTAACACCCAAACATAGTTATCAATCCGCTCAAATTGGAGATATGCAAAGGCTACGGAGAAAGACATATCAGTGGATGTCACACCAACTATCTCAAGAAGAGGAAGACGATATCGATTTGTCTTATATGTACAGTCCATGATCAACACCTTTGAAAATGAACGAAGCAAATCTAAACTTACACAATGTGCCCAAAACAAGTCTGTGACAGTCATCGTGTTGTTGTCACACCTATGTTGCTCAATGTAATTATGCTTTTGTAATTCACCCAATAACACGTGTGTAGACACCCCATTTTTGACCGACCTTAAGACTCAGACGTCACCAATTGAGCGCTTGGTGATGTTGCATATCGTGCTCGTTCAGAAGTCTCAGAGTCGCGGCCGTGAGCCCCGCTTCCGGATTTTCGAACCCTCTTCTGTGCCTTGCCTCGGTTTGCGAACCAGACTCGGTTTTCTCTGTTTCTTTTCCTGGGGGGAGGGAGAGGTCCCGTAGACCATCTCTCAGTGGCCGTGGGCTACATTTTGTGGCTATAGGCCATTTTGCCCATTTCGGAGCCCGGTTTCCAATTTTCGGGACCGTTGGCCGTGTGCCTCGGTTCGGGACCGCTTAACCATCTCCGTTTGCTCTAAATTTTGGCACGCATCTTAATTACTCCCTTTTGAGGGACACTGGGGCCTGAGAGACCCACTTCGTGGTCGAATGCCACTTTCGGTGCTTAACAGGCAGTTTTCGGGGCCCCGAACTGCGCATTTTAGCCCCCGAACTTTCGTTTTGCATCGGTTTTCGTTCATTTTTGGAAGGTACCTCTATTTCATCACTAGGAAGGCCGTAGAAGGGTGGGAGGCCAGCAATTATTTCAGCAACCAGTTATATATCCTCCGACGCCCTCCGACGCCCGTTTTTCTCACTTCCAAGCCAATGTTGAACACCCTTGGGCCATTTTCTTGAACTTTTAACCACATATTTGTGATGTACACACATGGGAGGACCCTAAAAGTTGGTGGCCAGCCACTAATGTTGCTTGACCCTTTTGAACCCCTCCTAAAAGTGGCCCATTCTCTCTCCTATTTTGCAGTTGCCAATTTTGAACCATAGGGTTGTGATGAGGGGACCTGGGAGGACACCTTTTTGTGGTGGCCGGCCAGAAAATCAACTTGACCTTTTTGACCCCTAGCCGGCCGGCTAGAGGGAGTGGCCGGCCGGCCACCTGCAGCTTTGAAAAGGAGCCGGCCATGATCCTCACAAAATTCACTTTACAGCTGTATAGCTGTTTCCCCCAGAAAATATCTCAATCCGGGGGATATTTTTTGGGGGAAAACTTGCCTCCTTTTCCCCCACCTTTTCCCCACCTTTACTCCCCCTTTTTGGTCGATATAACCAGCAGGCAACATTGGTAAAAGGGGTTAGAAAAAATTACCTTCAAGCTTGGTATACAAAATCTTCCTTCATCTCTCTCATTTCCTTGAAAACCTCCAAGTCCAACACCACCATTTCTTCTACACCACCAACCCCCACCCTTCTGTCCTCCATTCCAGAAGTTTGAAGGTGTTCTCCAAGGCCTAAGGGTGCTACAAACTCAAGCCAAGAGTTGCTAAAGACTTGTCTTCAAGGGTGAGTTTCATTTCCCCTTTTCTTGGTCCTTTTCTTGTTTCATTTACAGGCCATACATGCTTGCTGTTTTGAGCTCCGGCCATAACTGGAAGTAGTGTTATTTTGAGCTCTATTTCATGTTTCATTAAGGGACTTTTGTCATTTGAGGTCCATATATTGCACTTGCTTCAATATCCTTCTTGATTGTCATTTTCTTGCATGATATTTTTAGCTTGTGTGTGATCTGTTTTGGAGCATAATGTAAACTGTAAGTAGGCTTATTTTGAAGCCCTCTTCAACATTGAAGAAGGGCTCATCACTGTTTGGGACCTTCATTTGCCACTTGTCATTATATCTCTTTTTTGGTCCCCATTTTTGTATGACTTGGCACCCCCTTGTGCTTTTGTTTTTGGTCATTTTACAGAACTAAAAATAGTCTTATTTTGGTCCATTCTTCATGATTCATTAAATGCCCTTCATGGTTTGAGGCATCTTTCATACATTTCATGTTATATTTCTCTTTTGGTCCCCATTTTTGCATGACTTGGCAGCCTATTATGCTTCCATTTTTGGACGATTTTCAGGTCCAGAAAATGTCTTATTTTGGCCCATTCTTCATGTTTCATTAAGGGCCTTTCATGGTTTGAGGCATCATTTATATACTTTCTGTTGTATCCCTCCTTTTGGCCATATTTTGCATGATATTTTTGGCTTGCATGCATGCTGTTTTGGGACCGGCTATAAACTGTAAATGTGCATATTTTTGGTCCCTCTTCAGTGTTGTAGAAGGGCATTTTTCAGTTTGGGTTTTGCATATACCACTTGTTTCATTGCCCTCTCTTGGCCCCTATTTTTGCATGCCATTGTTGCCCTATCTTTGCTTGCTGTTTGGCCATGATTTGTACTGGTAAAATGCTAATTTTGGGGCTGCCTTGCTACTGTCTATTCATTGCATGTCCATATTGCGCATGTTTGGTATAGCTATAGGCCATTTCGGGTGCCAAAATTCATGTTTCAGGACTATTCCATGCATCAGGTGTACTTTCACCTCATTTCGGGGCTGTTAAATAAAAAATTCTATCAATGGGACATTTATAATTTTCTAAACCATAAGAGACAATCCGTAATTTAAATAAATCTCAAGAGATGTATTTAGAATTTATCATTTTTTATGATAGAGTGATTATTTGTATAGTTGTTATACTCAACTTTGAACTATTGTATTTTTAATTTTTGTATAATTAAACCAGTCAGTTAAAAAAACAATTCAAAATTATTTTACATATCCGAACTCATAACTAAAGTCATAATAAAAGGCACATTATCATTACATTCCATCTCATTATAATTAAGTAAATACAACATAAGAGCATCTCCAACGGTTCATTACTTTTTTCACCAAATTTGAGTAAAAAATAGCTGATTTTCTCAATCTGATATGACTTGCTCCAACAGTGCATCAAAAGAGAAGGGTCATCCGGTGGGTCGACCGGTAAGGCAAGATTTTTTTTTTTTTTTTAACCTATTTGAACATTTTTGACCCTGTTTAAACCTACCTATTTGAAAGAGAACCAGTCGACCAGTGGGTCAACCGGCCTGACATCCGGTTGGTTGACCGGTTAGCCTACCCCAACGTTATAGCACAGTGAAATACTGAAATCGCAAGCTTGTTCTCAGTTTGATAAAAGTTTTGTTCTGTTCTCATTTTGATATCAATTTTGTGAAACCATTGGAGACACAAACAGTGACTTTTTCATCAAATTTCAAATTTGATGCTGGGTTTGATACACCGTTAGAGATGGCCTAAGAATTCATAAAAAGATATTATAAATAAAATAAAATGATATATAGATATATAAGGTCTATTCCACTATATATTTCTTCCGTTAAACAATTATTATTTTAAAATTAAAGAATTAAATTTTAATAAAAAAAATTTTAAAAATTCACGTACATGGCACGGACCCCCGTACCTAGTATGTGTATATGTGTGTGTGTGTTTTGTGTCCACTACTAAAGAAAGGGCCTTTTGAGTCGGCAAATTTTACCGTCGCAAAAGGTAGCCTTTTTGAGACGGCACAGAGTTACCGACTCAAAAATTACTGACTCAAATACCAAACCTTTAGCGTTGGCACCGTTGGCCAACACAAAAAATTAATATTTGATAGCATTACTTGAGTCGGTTCAATTTACCAACGCAAAAGATAGACCTTTTGAGTCGGCATAGACCTTTTGCGTCGGCAAATTTGTGCCGACGCAAAAAATTATACCTTTTTGTGTCAACAACTGATGCCGTAGTAAAAAAAAAAAAAAAATTATAGCCTATATATATATTTACTTGATTATATTTAATAAATATATTTATTTATACATATACTTTTATATTAATATTGAGTGTATATATTATAAATAATATATATCTCGTTTAATATCTGAAAGAGGTATGGTGGTGAAGTGGATTTAGTGCGGTGACCTCGGGTCAAATTGTCCAAATGGTGTGTGTTCGACACTTGGGAGCCTTAATGAGAAAATTATGAGTTAAATTTTTTAAAACATTTAATCACTTTTTGAGTCGGCAATTTTTTGCGTCGGCAGATTACCGACTCAAAAGCTTTTTGCGACCCCACCATTTTCGTCCCTTGAGTTGTCGTCGAAACGCCGTCGCAAAAAGTTTTTGCGTCGGCAAATACGCTATTTGCGACGGCACGCTGCCGACTCAAAAGCCCTGTTTTCTAGTAGTGGTCTATGCATATAATTTGTTTTGAGCCATTCATGGAGTAGGAATTGTAAATGTCTCTACAAATTAAGGCAATTGATACATTATCCGTTAAACCCTTTTGAGGGCCTAATTCTTTTATTTGCTTTTCTTGCTTTTAAATATTTTACGCTTTATTTCAATCATGAATTTAGATAAAAATTTATTAAAAAAAATAAAAATGGAGAAAAAATTTAGTTTATATTTCATTCACATTATTCTCATTTTTTTTTTTCCTATCATTTTTATATTTTTACCTAAATTCATGATTCAAAAACAATCTTAAAATCTCTATTGAAAGAGTTTCATGAGACGTTTTGTATTCAAATCTATTTATTGTTATATTATTTGGTTATCATTTTCACTCCAAGGACACGCTCTGAGATGTTGTTGGTCCTACTTTTTTGGCTCAAGATTATAGTCCATCAAATGGTAATTGAGGGGGATAACTAATATGTTATTCGTATGTTTTTGGGAGTGTCCCTTCGTGAGAATGTGGTGCAATTTTTAGTGACATCGAAAGAATAACAGTTCAGAGGAGTTTCCTTTTTGGATGGAGTCTTAGGCTCCGTTTGGATGGAGAATGTGGTGTTATCCCCTCACTATTAACTCCCTCACTATCAATCCCTTCCATTCTATCTCTGAAAACAAACGGGACCTTAAAACTTTAATCAAGGTGACTCATTGGATTGTCAATACTTGTCTTCATAACCAACTACCTTTAGACTGGATGACCAATCCCCTACTGCTTTATCGAGTTTAACTAGTATTTCTGCATAATTTCTGTTTGTTTCTCTTGTGTTCCATATTTCTTTGATAAAAAAAATATGTATATATACATATATGTCAGTTAAATTTAAATTAGTT